GAAAGAAGGTAGAACTAAAAAAATAATAATTTTTCTCATTAAAATATGTAATGAAATATGAACACCAAAAATGGCCTGAACAAATGAGTCACTTTCAAAAAGACGGAAAGAATCCAAACCATTTACAGGCACGTGGAACTCCTGGGTGACAGCTTAACACAGAATTCTGCTAGGAACTGGAACTGTTATAGATTTTAATGAAAAAAAGTTTTCCAGCTTGGGACTTTATAGAAGGGGAAACTTGGTGCAAGCAACTTCTACAGGATACAGTTTTCATTCAGTTGAGAATGAAACTTATGAGCTATTGCTGTGCTTTGAGTTAATGGCAAGACTTGTATAGGAAAGTAAAGACACAAATAACAGTCAGTGCATGCATGTAAGTAAGAGAGTTTTATCTTTGCATCTGCCAGTGTGTGCAGAGGATGTGTGCATCAGCAGGTTAGCTGCTGAGTAAGAGCTTACCTAGCCTTCATCCAGAATGTGCAATAAAATAAAACATGTTATAAGCTCAGTCACAATTAATCTCAAAATATTTCTCCAAATGTCTTTTGTACTGAAAGTCTGATTTGGACAAGAGTGTCTTTGGTACATCTACAATTAAGATATTGGTCTGGATAACTTTCAAAGCTGGTACACAGGAGAAATCTCAACTTACTTTTCCATAATGAGGCTACATTTTAGCAATCCTTGTTAAAAAATATTGTTGTCACTTTGGGCTCTCTTTGTTGATATGTCCCATCAACTCCTAAGAGAAATACTCATTTACCCATGGCACCAAGCACTGTAACTTTTCCCAAGCAGCATGGTGTGGTACAGTGGAAGCTCATACAGCACCTGATGCAGTGTTATGCAGCCACACAGCCCTCCTCCAAAGAAGACTGGTGAAGCGATGTCCCTGCTGGAAGTAGAAGATTGTGCTGCTAGTGATACAGGCTCTAGCATGGCTTAAGGAGAGGCCTGGAGGCAAAGTACCAGTGTCACTGATAGGATATTAAAGGTTTGGTGGAGCAACATCTGTCAATGATACTCATGTGAAGCAATAGTTTACAGTTAAACCTCCTATATTACAGCAAAACCCAAAGGGAACCCAGGGTTGCAAACAAGGCAGCTTCTCTGCAGTAGAAGCTCCTCTTGGGGATGCATCTGCCTTCACTACTTCACAAGGTTGTAAACTTCAGTCCTATTATGACAGCTGACATGAATGCAGAAGGATAAATGAAAACAGAGGCTTGGAACTATAGAGGTTTCAAAAACAAAAACAAAAACAAACAAACAAAACAAAAAAAAACAACAAAAAAAACAAACAAGATGAACTTACTGTCTGCGATGGACAGATAGGTATATGTGTTTATACACACATGAGTGCATCACAGATCATTAGAAATGAGTTGTGGTTTGAAGTAAATATCAGCAGGACAAGGACTGGCTGTAAGCCTTTAATTCCATGGCAAAGCCAAGGACGACATAGAAAGGACAGAAAGGCTAAGTGGAGTCTTCAGGGTGTCAGAATATCATATTTAAATATATTTGTAGGCTTCAGACCCATCAAAATGTTGGACGCTAGCCACTGACTTTCCATGGTTATGAGTTTTGTAGACATCATTGCTCATTAAATTCATTTCTTAATCTGAAAGTGTCTGTGGGTATTCAGTGTAGACGGTCACACATATTTAGAAAGACCTGCATAGCAGAAACAAGCATCTGTGTTTCAGCTGAAGCTCTACTGTGTGATGTATGTTTAGGCAGACAGATACTCTAGATACCTGGATGTTCTCCTCAGAAGTCCATACGGAGTCCCACCTAAATGAAGCCTACGAGTAGGAGTGGCAGTGGAAGCAGTACATGTCTGCATCCACATTAACATCTTTTACAGATGTTATTATGTTAATCTCAAAGTGGAAACACAGCCTGAAGGGGACTTAACAGGCACTTCCTACGTCCAAGAAAAGAATTTGACCACTAGGCTAGGGGCTTTTTGGGTGACAGCTCTTTCCTTGCCTTTGCTGAAGCCAAGTCACTATTCTGCCAGGAGTATATGAGTCATGGGGCAAGACTGTGTCTGAAAGTAGCTGAGTGCTTAAGGACAATCAGCTGGAAGGGGCGAGGAGCCGAGTTTCTGGATACAGCTCTCTGGAATGTGTATGCATTTTACATTAGACCAACACTGGATAAAAATAAAGTCAGGCATTAATTACATTAACCAGGCTGGAGTCTACCTTGGATCTAGGCAGAATGTATTTTCTCTCTCTGACTAACAGATGGTACTCAGAAAAGCTCTAGAGGATGGCACTCTGTTTTGTTCTGTGGAGAGAGAAGCAACATCTCCTCCCTTGCTACTTGATACACCACTCATTGGCCAAAACTTATGATTTGCAGTACACAGCGAAGCACAAATTTTTAAAGAACCCCAAAGAAATTTTTGTCCATTGGTAAGTGCTAGAGGACTTCTTAAACTGATCTTAAGAATCAGATGATTTAGCAGAAAAACAGAAAGTTACTGTTGGTCCAGTACTAGAACTTGCAAAGCTTTATTTCCCAGCTTTAACTTTAAAGCTTGTATTATTATTTTTGGTTATTTTCAAGAAGTCAGATTCTTTAGGAAATTAATTATGGATAGAGTAGTTGGGTGAAAAAGACTTAGTCTAGATGGCTGAGGACTCTTCCAGAGTGGTAATAGTCTTATAAAAATGTAAAATGTTCTGTTGTGAAAATGATATTGCAGAACAGCCTTTTACAGATGATTCATCTCTCTCAAAATTGATACAAAGCATCTTATTTAAGCTAGAGAGATAAAAGCTTCAGACAATACAAAAAGGAATGCTCAAGGTAATGAGTGCTTTCATGTTACAAGTTCTCATGTCTGAGGGCACTGCATCAGGCTAAAGGACAACGAGATAAGAACAATATTGCTAGTTACTAACAAATGGCAGATAAAAGAGCTCTTCTGGGTTCTGATGAAGTGACAGCATTCTACACATTCCAGTGAGTTGAGAAAGTTTGCCTGAGAACAGCAGCTATGTTACATGAAGTACCACCGAACAAGCATATCTCTATGTTTTCAAATTCCAGCGTGAGTAATGGCTCTTTCCCTCCTCTCTTAAATTTGAACAGAAGCTCCCTCTCTCCTTCTGCACATGCAGGACTAACTTGCCGTGCTTCAGTGTCCATTAAGACGCATAAATGTATATGCGGAAAGTAAAGAGAAGTTCTGTAGGACGCCATGGCCGCGAGCCAATGTTTACAGTCCCCTGGGTGGGAAATGCCGGGTGAAAGGCTCTCCATGGCAGGCTGTAGGAGTCTTTGCTGTTGCCGCCAATGACCTTCTGCCTCTGTTTGCAAAGTAGCTCCCTTGTTAACCCCTTGTACACTGTGCAGAAAGGTCTAAGACAGGAAACACTTTCTCTAAGAGTCCAAATCCACTTCCAGGCATCTGTTTGACAGACTCTGATTGCAGGGCTGGTTAAGGAAGTGTGCACTAATATGCACACTCTGCTTTTGCTGTCTGAGCTGCTGCACTGAGACATATTTTTAATACTCCAGAATTGGATTTAGCTGTGCTCTGGATGTTACAAAGTGAACATTTCCAGCTTCAGGCATTGGACATCAGTTTATAGGCACAGGGATCAGGAAAAAACAGGCATGCTCAGCCTCCAGGAGAGAAGGAAACATCCGATTTACACAGAAATGCTTTAGCTCTCCCTAACCAATCAGTAGCTATGTTTTTTGCTGCTAGTGGCAATCCCTCGTCCTGGAGACTCCTGGGGAGGAATGATGCTCAGAGGCAGGCTGAACTGTCACTGGTGTGGTGGAGACACACCACGAGGGAGCACCCAGTATGGAATGGAAATCTGCTGCTTTAAAAGGTTTTGCCTGAGGATGAAAAATACATGCAGGAGGTCTCCTCCTGAGTCATGTCCCTTTTGCTGCTCTGTGAATCACTCATGGATCCTAACTGTCCAGGAAGAGTCCTTATAAAAATGATAAAAATAGACACACACAAAAAAAGGTCTTCTAAACTGTTTATCTCAGTATGTAATCCATCCTTGAATAGGAAGAATAAATCAAATAGAAGCTAATACTTAAGAGCTAGTGTAAGTATCCTAATGGTCTGAGAGAGGGAGCCAAGAGCCCTTGTGACAATGTCAGCCTTGCCACCAGTTGACTAGATCGCCTTGGAAAAATCAGTTTCATAGTCTATATGTTTCCCCATCATCATGATGAAGCTTGCGTGTGCCTTTTCCTCACAAAGATCTGTATTGAGAAGAAATCATTCCATGCATAAATCTACCTGCATATTCATTGCAAGGAAATAAGATTGCCCATCACCTCCAAAAAACTTCCACAGCATTAACAGTCATATACAGATGGCAATATATACCCCCTTCAATGAACTTTCAGAGCAATTCATGTAAATAACATGCTCTAGTCACCAGGAAATCCTTCAACGTATGACTCCATGGATGGTGAGGAGGAGAGGAGAGAAAAGCAGAGCCAGAAGCTAGAGTTCCTGTAGAGAGACCAGGCCTATGAGCATGCAGCTCTCGGACAGGGGCAGATCAGCAGTCCCTAATGATCCTGCAAGCTCCAAGGGGTTAAACTTAAAGGTACACAGAAGGTTCACAAAAAGCCGATAGGACCTCACCTATTTCTCTGAGGCAAAAATGTCATGCATGAAAAAGCTAATGTTATTAGTCTGTGTTAAAGAAACAAAAAAAAACAAAAAAAAAAAAAACGAACAACAGCAACAACAAAAAACCATACAACTGGACAGGCCGTAAAAGCACTACCCTAACACCGAATACACACTTAATTCCTACTTATTTCAGAGGAAGCTTTGGGTGGTTAGAGGAAGACAACATCAGACAGTGGAATCATGTACATCCATTTCTGCCTTTGTTTTTAATTTTTATTATTTTAAAAAGTAGTTTAGAGACAAGAAAGTAGAAATACCCTATATTTTCTAGAGAGTATAACATTCCATTTAGCAAATACTAACTATTTTTCTTGGAAAATGGCAGTCTGCAGGGAAAAAGTTTTTTTTTATAATGGGAAAAAAAGAACATTTATTTTAGCTTCTTTTGGTTGTTGCTAATATCATGAGGTTATGTTACTGCTGTTTAAAATCATTAATGATTGTGGGATCAGAAACTAAATGTTTACAAGAGTAGACAGTATGATTGTTATTAGAAGGATACTCTCAGGCTGAATTTAGATCCAAGTTAGTTTTTGTAATATGAAGCTTTTACAAAACATGGGTCTAAATGACCCCTCCTTAAGCTTTTTTTTATTTACAAAGCATCTTTAAACACCAGATAAACATAGTTTTGTTTTGGGCTACTGCAAGAAAATCTGAAAATGAAACCTGTTTGAAATTAAGTAGGAAGAAGGATAAAATAATCTATTATCATAACACAGCAAAAGGAAAACAGAAGTGAACAGCACAACTATTGAAAAAAACAGAATGGATTTTACATCTTTTCAGATGCAGGAAAGGTGTTATCAGCAACAATATAAGAGGCCTTTATTTCTTCTTCTGAATAATTGAAGTGTTAGTCTGGCAATATGCCTTGAAAGCAATTATGTGGAGACTCAGTACTTCTTAAAACAATTCTGGGTATAATCTTCAGCCTGAAAAATAATGCAGGGTACTGCAGATGACCTCTCTTAACTATCTTGCCATTTCTGTCTCTAGGACTCGGGATGAATGACAGTTCACCAGGAAATGCTGTACACAGGAATGTCATGTACGTGTTGTAGCTCACATGTGAGGTACAAAAGTAGTTTTAATCAATTACATCTCAAGGAAGTAGACTACTTACCACTCCCATAATAACTGATCTATAAATATGCTTTTTTTTCAAAGTTTAAAAGACTTGCCTTGTTTTAGACTGGACAAGGAAACGGTACGTTTATGGGAAAATGAAGCCTATTCTAATTAATCTGACTTCCAGTGAAGTATTACATATTTTATGCTGAATAATAGCTCATTAGGTTGCAAAAAAATCAGCTACCCAGACTTGTGCAAAGTGTTTGACACTGTCCCACATGACATCCTTGTCTCTAAATTGAAGAATTGAAGGATTTGATGGATGAACCACTTGGTGGGTAAGGAATTGGCTGGATGGTCACACTCAAAGAGTCGTGGTCAGCGGCTCAATGCCCAGGTGGAGATCAGTGATGAGTGGTGATCCTCAGGGGCTGGTATTGGGACTGGCGCTGTTTGACATCTTTGTCAGTGACATGGACAGTGAGATCGAGTGCACCCTCGGCAAGTTTGCTGGCTGACATCACGCTGTGTGGTGCAATCGACACAAAGGAGGGAAAGGATGCCATCCAGACGGACCTGGGCAGGCTGAGAGGCGGGCCTGTGACCTCATGAAGTTCAACAAAGCCAAGTGCAAGGTCCTGCCTCTGAGCTGGGGCAATCTCAAGCAGAAATGCAGGCTGGGTGGAGAATGGAAAAGAAAAAATAAATATCAGGCTGAGAGAGTAGAGGTTGTTCAGCCTGGAGAAGAGAAGGCTCCAGGGAGACCTTATAGCAGTCTTCCAGTACCTAAAGGGGGCCTACAGGAAAGCTGGGGAGGGACTTTTTATGAGAGCATGTATGATAGGACAAGGGGTAATGACTATAAAATAAAAGAGGGTAGGTTTAAATCAGGTATAAAGAGGAAATTCTTCACTATGAGAGTGGTGAGGCCCTGGCACAGGCTGCCCAGAGAAGCTTTGGATGCCTCATTCATGGAGGTGTTCAAGGCCAGGCTGGATGGGGCTTTGGTGGGTGGTGTCCCTGCCCATGGCAGGGGTTGGAACTGAGTGATCTTTAAGGTCCCTTCCAACCCAAACCGTTCTATGATTTTATGAAAATTAGGACTTTCATTTTAATGAGAGAAAAAGACAATATCTAAAACAATTTTGATATTGGTATGGCTACGTACTAAGCATAGATCTGCCCTTGAACTTCACTGACTTCAATGGGACTTCAATGGAGTCTCATGCCTGCCAGTGATCAGTACTTAACAACACTCATTTCTATCATAGATCTGATCTTTTTCATGACCCAGTGTTTTTACACTACTGTGAATGGTTGTGACCAACTGACTGTCCCTAACTGTGCATTCATTATATTTATAGATGTCATTAGGGACTGGAAGTGTGTAGTGTCTTTAAAGTAAGTAAGAATCATTTTACACATGTGGTAGAATACACAATAGTTGGCTATAAGGGTATGTGGAAGGGGTCCATGGGATTCCATGGGGAATAGCACATATATAAATAAAACAAAGTGATTTTGCACCTTGGCTTCTACTGAAGGAAAAAAAGAGTCTCTTCGAGACTTTCTCAAAATTCTCCAGATTCCTTATGGTAAGGGAAAACAATCATGAGCAGCATGTATATACACCTTCAAGCTGCTAGCATGGCAGATTAATGAAGATTACTCTATTCAGCATCTTACAACTTTACCAAAATTTCACTGATTACACTAATATTTTCCATGCTGTATCTCTCTGGCTTATACTCAGCTTTATTGGAATATTTCAGCTGAAGTAGTTCAGGGGTTTCCATAAGTGAGGCTACATGGTTTGCACATCTTAAATTCCGGTGACCTTCTTTTTGAGAAGCTTTGGTGCCCTCACATTTTGGAACAAAGGCTGTGGAACTTGGCCACTCCTGTAAAACTTTCCTCCAAATTTGGCCATGTCATAAATCTGAAAACCGGCACATGCTCAGTAAGGACTTGCACTAGTGCATAATTATTGCACTTTCAGAAGGTTTTGGTTTGAATGAGCACACTTCAGGCCAGCTCTGGGGAGCTCAGCAGGACATCATGGCATCTCAAGCTTCTGACTGTGAAGACAGCCTGTTATGCTATAAATGGCCTATCCCATGTTTGAAGGGGAACCTATCGCACTCAGCCACAGAGATGAAAATAGCTGGACAGACTAGGGGAATAGGGTATGAAAGCCAGACTAAGACTAAGAGATGACTAAGACATCGCCTTGTTGGGTTTAAGAACAATCAGGGCTGGGTGTCTGTGGAGAGACGGGGTAAATGAAACTGACTGAGAAAGAAGACTATGAGCTACAGAGGGAAGAAGGAAAAATGACCAGCAAGGCATATGAGACTGGGATCAGGAAAAAAACCTCTACAAGGAGACAGGGACTGCTGAGGAAGGCCTGCAGCTGAAAGCTGGGGTTACTGAGGGGCATGCCTGGTGCCCAGGGAAAGCAGACTCCACAGAGGATTTGGGGTGGGAGTTGGATCTAGTGGAGAAAGGCAAGGGGGCTGGAGGAGAGGTAGAAAAACAGGTTTAAGGGGAAAACATACCAGTAATTGTGTGTTGGAAGATGAATGGGAACAAACATCTGGGAAATCCACTGGCAATGTGTCCTGCCTCCTAGTTTAATCAGCTACTTATGACAGTCATCCACTACAGCCAGAACTCTGTGAGCTCAAGTTGAAGAAACCTACATTAGTGATCCATAGGTTCAGTCCTGTTAATAAGCAGTGTGCATATGAATATAGTATCAAGTGAATAAATTCATTTTTTTATACGCCTTCTTTTTTTTTTAACAGAAGACAACTGCACACATACAAAGAAATAATAGCATAGATTACTTCCATATTTTGCAGCTAAAACCAATCACAAAAATCTCTGCCCTAAAACCAAAAAAACAAACAAAGAAAAAACAAAGTACTTAATGCCAGAAAGAGCATGTGAGTTGGGAAGTGAAAACAAGCCTGTGGCAATAAGGGCTGCTGGTGACTAGAAGATGGTCCAAGTAAATCCAAAAATGCAGTATAAATATATGACGATTTAAGCTTGTATCAAGAACTTGCTCCCTGTCACTTGAACTGCAGGCCTGCTGTAGCTGCAAACCCTGTCACTGCCTAATGCAGTTGGTTTTCACCTGTATACATATTGATAGTCTTCACACCAACTTTCACCTTCTTTGGAGAGGCTGCCTAATAATATCTGCAAGGCCATTTTAACTGTAGAAGAGAATAACAGCAACCTGTTCTTGTTTATTTTCTTTGTTGTGTACTAGTAGCGGCAAAATCACTTACTATACTGTGTATAGTGAATCAGAAGTATAAAACTTCCTTAGAAGGATGCCAATACCTTAACTGTTTATAATGACAAAGAAAATAGAAAAACAGTATCAAACTAGCATGTTTATGCAACCTCCTGTTTTTATCCAAGTGTTAATGCTATATTGTGGGCTTTTCCCTAAACCAGATAACTGTAAGTACTGATTTCATTGATGAGTTTTAAAAGGCAGCATTCACTGCTACTGAGGGTCTCCTCCTTGCAGCTGTTGCAGTGATGGCTTATACTTAATGAATTTTTCTCCCTCTTCCCTCTGAAAACTCAACACCTATAATTTAACATTTAAAACACAGCCTCTATTTAAACATCTCACAACAACAAAAATGCATACGCATTGAGAGCATTTTATTTCTTGTAACAAAATCATTAGATTCATGCAGCAACAACTGAACTGCTCCATACACAGTATATAGTTAAAACTGCACAACTGAAGCCAAAATATGCACAGCTAAAAGGAATGTTACAGGGGGGCCTCTCTTAGTGAACAAAGCAGGCTCAGTTTGGCTCTTTTTCCCTAGCGCTACCACATCCGCACATCGTTAGTTGGAAAATTCCAGATATATGCTGTAATTTTTTGTGCTTTTTTTCCCAGTACACTTGAGGCTTTAGTGTCCAGATGCCATTTTCCCCCCCTTATCTGTCCCTGCTAGTCTGGGTCTTTGCCAGTTGTGGTCAACAATTAATACAGCAAAAGAAAAATACAGTACACTCCCTGGCAACTGGCAGAGGCTCACAGGAAATACCAAATAAAAACTTTATTATGTATTGTTTAACTATTTTGTTTGCCTGTGGGCCACCCTGTTGTTGGTGTAATTTAGAAAAGCATGCTCCATCTGGATGATCTGTGCGCAGGCTCATTGTTCCCAGAATCTGTCACGCACAATCACTGCTTCAGCCTGTGGCCCTCTGCAGAAAGAAGCAAAGGCATGGCAGCCCTCCAGCCTGCATTCCTTTTCATTAGACAACTTGTGACCAAATGTTAGAATAGAAGAGTAACCTTTTAATATTCATGTAATTAATTTACTTTCCCCTTTAATTATAAACCTTCACGTGAAAAGAAGAAAATAAAAAGACTTTCCTTCATGATTCTCCTCCCTCCCCCATCCTTTCTGCTTGTTTTTTGGGACATGGAAGGTGCTGGGAGTTTCATTATGCATAGGTACCGGTACCTATGAATTTTGGGAAATTCTCGTGATCATAATACTTGTGTGGGTTTTACGTATCAATTGCTCTGATACATTGAATATATTCTTAATTATAAAAAAACGGAGTAATGAAATTCTTTCCAGCTATATGCCCTTGCAGCATCTGCTTCCTTGTCTTAATCAGTGGGGTAATCCATTGAACACAAAGCCATTCTTCTATATTTGAAAACACAATAGACATCTAATTGAAGCTGCCTTTCATACTAAGGTCACCTTATGACTCAAAATACTGTGTCATATGGGATTTTGGCTGTGCGGGCTTAGGTTTGCCAAATCTGCTTTTTTCTTAAAAAACAGTGCCGTTTTTTCAGCTGAGATTAGACTAATTCTGAATTTGTTAACATGATAGAAAAGTTTGCCTCCCACAACCCAAAAAGTACATTTGATTGCTAAGGAAAGCATCTGTTGATGCCAACGGTAAGGTCCCACCATAAGAGTTAATTTCAGCACACTGAGCTGGGGCCTAAATTTCCATGTTTATATCTTCGTTGCCGCAGCCCATTCAAAGGAATCCCATTGGAATAGGTGGTAATTCAAGTAGATGAAACTAAGAGAGAAGTTGTGTGTCTTCAAGTCACAGGATTTAAGTTCTTGTTGCCTGATTTTGATTGCAGGTTCAAGAGCTGATGAGGACATTAAAAACTCACAGAAACCACTTGGCATATCAAAGGATGGGGGTCCAAAGGCAGTCTAGTATCCTATGGTTTCCATGGCAACTGAACAAATGTTACTGAAGTTCACTCATTTTTCTATTATTAAATAGGTATAACTGCCATGTCGAGTCTGCAAGTGATCAACATAGATATTAGTGGTTTTGCTTAGTTCGTGCATCAACCCATCATAGGAATGAAAAATACCAACAAGATTTTCTTTTTGTGGCCACATGGGCACAAAGATAATGAAGCAAGTTGAGATGAAGGCAGGGCTTAAAAAGTTTCTGGAATGTCTTTTAATTAGTTTTAAAATAGTACATAATTGAGTTGGAATGATTCTGTCTGTGAAGCACCTTTAGCAAAGAATAGAACAAAACCGATGTCATTTGTCACATTAATTGCAAATTCGGGGTATAATATTTCACATATTCACTAGGAAAGAATTTCAGCTATGTGACAAATTAAACTGTTTGCTTA